GAGTTCAGTTGTGGCAGTATGCGAGTTCAGCAGTGGCAGTGTGAGAGGTCAGCTGTGGCAGTATGCGAGTTCAGCCGTGGCAGTGTGAGAGTTTAACTGTGGCAGTGTGAGTGTTTTTAGCTGTAGCAGTTTAGGGTCTATAAGGCCACACCCAGACATGTATACCCTCAGTAAAACATGGTGCAAGCACCACCCAACCTTAAACCTCCGGTGGTTGCTTTTCTCAGCCTCTTAGCAGAGAGGCTCAAATGTTAGCCTCTCCATTCAAGAGTTGCCGCTTAGAACAAAAACTGCCTCTCGTGCTTTTGTGGTAGAAGGGAATCTTGTCATTTGTAATGTTTTTGGTGGTCTTCCGCTGCTGCTGCCGACAGCTACCAACATGATATCAACATTATAAAAGATTTTCGGTCAAACTCAAGCAAACAGAGTTTCATCATGCTTGCTAGCAACTGCGTCCAAGCCCAAACCAGCCGTTTGAGTTTCATCATCAGGCAAGACGTATATAACTCTCCGAGGTGTTTGGCGCTTGGAGGTCTTTCAAGGCAGAGTTCATAGGAGTAGGCAGTTGCTGGATTTGCAACCTGAGCGCCTGCAACCGGCAGAAAACAAAGCTAACATGTTTAGCCAGGAAATGTTCAGACCAAAACACTGACTAGAGGTGAGTATCAATACCTATAGAAACGAACAGCCCCACCTGCGGTTGTTGCAGCTCTGACATCGGGGTTGCATCGTCTCCATCAAGTTTGTCCACATCTTTCTCTTCTTTCACTAACGTCAAACCAGCCATCAGTGTCGAACTCGAAAAGACACGGGATTGAAGCTGATACGCCATTTCCCCTTTCGATTAGAGACGAGCCTGAAAGCGGCAACCTGTCGACTTAATTGAACATTATGCCAAAAATTCATAACCTGGGAATTCCGCCTCTTACCCGGGAAGTTCCGCCTCTTACCCGGGAAGTTCCGCCTCTCGTTGTTTCACGTGCTTCATGTTTTTGCATATGTTGCATGTTTTTCATGTGCTTTAATGCTTGTTTGCGTGTATTTTGTGTTTTTCATCTGTTTCATGTGTTATCTTTTTCATGTGGCTCTCCTGTGCTTTCATGTTTTTAATGTGGCTTTCATATGTTTCATGTTTTTCATGTATTTCAGGTTTTTCATGTGGTTTTCATGTGTTGCATGTTTTCATGTGTGTTTATCAAATTGCGCGATATCATGTTCATACTGCAATTTTCCTTGCAAAAAAGACCCCCACAAGTCCGGTTCGACCTGCCTGAAATGCAGGTTTTGAAGGCGAAAGTCGGACTTGTGGGGGTCATTTTTCGCAGGCCAATCCAAGTGGAAAATTAGCAGTTCATATATATATAGTTTCATGTTGTGTGCGGTCAATTTTCCACAGTGAGTTATCATGCCTTCATGTGTTTCACGGTTTATCATGCTTGAACCTTTTGAATGCATATAACTTATGTGTTGGTTCATGGTTCGAGGTTTGTGGTGTTTTTCCTATAGGTTAAGTGTATAAGTTTCATTGTTATCACGGTTATCATAATGTCATATGTTCTATCAACATAACTGGGGAGAAATCTATGTAACACAAGAATCGCCTCTTGCAAAAAAAATGCCTCTCAGTTCCTAGAGGCGCCTTCTAGGTTGGAGGCGCAAAAAGTGCAGCCCTAGGAAGATTCAGGTATATATATATAATCTTATATAAATACATGATCTCCAACGATGTTCCTCAAATTGCCATGGGAGTTGAGAAGGGTGGACCCTTCCTCGGTGATCAAGCATGTTGTGCCAGCCAACTTCTGGACTACGTACGCCGAGCCGAGGAAAAGTCCTTAAGGCGCCTCCTGGCAGATGCGCGGTCATTGAACAGGACCGATGCGCAGGGCTAGAAACGCAGACAGAGGAGGTTTGAGGACGGAGAACTCTGGGAAAGGCCGATGGCAGGTCTTTCAGGACGTGACCTGAAACGTAGATGTCAACATGCAGCGGTCCATCTGCAACACCGTAGGCCGTTTAATGATGGTAGTTTCGGTGTCTATCATCAAAGGAAGTCATTTTTCAGATAGACCTGATAGATAGATGTCGATACATCTATAGATACCAGGAAGATAGATACCAGCGAAGATATCTCACCCAA